AGGAAAATTGTAAACCACCGAATCCCTATGGTGAATGATTTATGTTCTAACTCCAAAAGGGGAAAAAAATATATAACAAAAGCTATAGCTCACTGGGTGCACAATTCTGGGGGAAAAAAATGAAAAAATGAAAAGCGGCAGAGTTGAGCACCAAATTGGCGAGGGCAGGGGGGCTGGGCATGGCAATTTTGGGCATTGTCTGTGTGCCAAATGGAGGTTAGCGAGCAGCGGAGGAGCGCGCGTTGGCAGGGTATAGCCTTTTGACACAGGAGATGGGGCGAGAACAAGTGCATTCAATTTTCACCAAGCTTCGTCACAAGCAGTAGAAAAGACAACATTCAGATTAAACAATATGGCCTGGTTTTGTTTATATTTTAGTGAGCAGTTTCTCAATCGGAAGTACACAGCAGGGACGAGCTCATAGGTGACAGTGTGCAATACATAAAGTGACAAGTATATTTGCGCTTTGAGTATAGAGATTGTGTTTTCTCATTACATGTGTGAATTAGCGTTGGTGACAGAAAGACTCCACCGGGAGACACATAGATTTTGATCTCTGATGCAGAAGTGCTTATTATAAAAGCTTTATTTTGGAGCCACTAAAATTACTTTCCTTATTAACAAATAAAATACAATATAAATTTTTTCTGTTACCTGTTTGTCTGCATAAAATGTCAACACTTTGCCTGGAATGTTACACAATATGGCATTAAACTTTTACCCATCTCCATCGAAGTGGCACTACTTAACTAAAGTACAGGTGAAGAAGTGCGCTCACCCACAGGAAGAATAAGTGTTTATCAAGATATTATATAAGCAATAAATAAATACCAGAATGAATACTAGATAGATACATTTAATGCTTTATTGTGGAACATTAGGGGTCAAAGCAATAACAACTGGAGAAAAGCAGGCAGCGGATCCAGAAAAGTTACTTGTGGGGGTGTAACGATATCCAAGTCTCACAATACGATATTGTCACAGTATGAACTTCAATAAATAACGATATTTATTGCGATGTCGTGGGAAAGCTCATGATATGGTGGGGAGGCTCATGATTAGGGATGTAACAATATCCAAATCTCACGGTACGATATTTTCATGATATACATCTCACGGTAAGATATTTATTGTGATATTTTGAAACAGCTAAAACTGTAAATATGCTACTTTTTCCTCTAAAAATGCCTTGACAAGACTTAATCCAAAGAACTAAGACTTAAAAGTGCTTAGAACTTTATTTCTTCATGTAGTCTACACTGAAATGGAGCAAAGGATCATGGTCTATGTAGTTCCCTGTGTGTTTTTTAGCTATTGCTGCACCATAACTCTTAATTTAAGAAAAGAGACTTGTAATTTGATATATTGTGATGGTCCACGATGTTATTATGAGAACTCTGATGGTATGATATCACGATATTTCGGTTATTGTTACATCCCTAGTTACTTGGTTTATCTTTAACAAAATTACAAAAATAACTGATTAAAAAGAAAATATGAGGGCTAGGAGTGGTGCTGTTGCCTGCTTAAAAACACATGCAGAGTTGTGTTTTGTTTCATTTACACATGTTTGAGTAACCCCTTATTATTAGTCTGTCTACATCTCTAAAGCTCAAAATGCTCAGTCCAACCTTGTGATGACATGAATTGGTAGTTTTCAAGTTAACAGCTCCTTTTACCTTTAGTTCAGTTAGAGATGGTCAATTCCAGGGAATCATCTCAGTGATTCTAGTGAAGGTGTATGGAGTTTAAAAACACAGTGGAGAAAGAAGAAAGAAGGAAGAAAGAAGAAATATATGCCAAATATATGTCTAAATATGCCAGATTTGTGTGTTAAATGTGTGAATGAAACAAAACTCAACTGTGTTTTGATGAGGATACAACTTTGTAACGTAGATCAGAAAATAACATGGCCCCTTTAATTCTAAAAACCTAAAAAAACCAATCATCAGACATTCATTTTTGTCATAACGCCCACCCCAATATGCTGGAAACTAGAAGTGCAATCTGTAGCTTTAAAAAGATGTAATAACGGAGATAGGAGATAGAAGAATCATTGAACTTGGCTGGTAAAATGTTCCTGGATGGCGCAGGAGTAGAAAATAATTTGTGCTTTAAAGGTCACTGCTGGAGGTAGAGGAGAAAAACATGAATATTGTAAAGGTCATTGGGTTGAATGTGAGTTTGTGGGATTAAGGGCCTACTTAAATGAGCTGTTTTCTCTTATTCACTTCTACACTGTCTATGCGGCTTGTGTGTCCATTTTTAATTAGCCCCATTTAAAGCCAATGGCATGTTTTCTGAAATTTAATACAAATTTAATCTTCAATACATAGAGCATTTTTAGAGCCTAGCGGACTGTAATACTTGGAGATTTTTATCATGTTATAAAATACCTTCATCACAAACATACATCGAATAGGGGTGGGCCATATTCACAAAAATAGCCCACTTCAATATATTTGGAGTATTTCCTCTAATAATAATTAATCCAACAGAAATTAGCTCAAATTTGTCCGTAAGTGTCAATGATGAGGATTAAGTATCAAGCAAATGCGAAATAGTGCAGAAATATAACTTATTTCTAATATTAAAAGTTTTTGGATAGGTTTTTATTATAAACAATGTACCCAGTATTTTGTATATCTTCAAACTATTTTCGTAATCTTTAGCTCTCTCTACCACTCCTATTCTAATGTGTCTACATTAAAAACAATATATGTGCATAAAGCTGCACTATGTAACATTTCTGGTGTAGACTCTGCCCCCTGTCTCCATGGAGATGCTATTTCTTTGCCTGGATTGTTCCACTGTCTTGTACTAAACTAATCTATTATGCATTTATTCAGTAAAAGCTGTTTTTATTGCACGAAAATGCCTTGAGACACATGCATTATTATTGTGAAGGTTCTTGCATATCCCCAGATCTGACTTGTAACTAAGCCTGTCATCACTTTGGAGATAGATATGTTTAATGCCATTCTGTACATTCAAAGCAGCGTAATTAACATTAATAACATTTCTCTAGAGACAAGAAGGTATTGGACCCTCAGAAAAAGTCATAGCATGTCTGTCAATGCTATGTCTGTTATTGGAACTCCCTATTTGAATTTTCTCTTATGACACATTGTTCGCCCAAGGTTGCAAAAAGACACCAGACAATCCTGTTTTATTGTAACTCAAAGAACGCATAAACAAAACTATCTGTCTGTCCTCAATTTGAACTTGTCACTGCCCCCATTGAAACATGCATTATGATTTCTGTTTCTTCTATAAGAGCGATAAAACAACTTTCATCATAGACATAGGCTCACATTACTGTATTTGAACTGCGTATACATCTATTATTTTATAAAACATCAAGCATTTCTTCAAGATAATATTCAAGATGCCCTTTCTGTTTCTGAACAACATCTGCTACACAATATTGCAAACCAGACCTATTTCCTTGCATTATCTTTTTCATAGTAAATGTACTATATTGTCTTCAAAATGGTTCTTTCTACCATAATGTGCCTTCAATTCACCTGCAGTTATTGAGCCACAAAATAAACCATAGATGTTTTCATACTTGTCCTGGTTTGGTCCTGGTCCAGTCCTGGTTTAGTCCTTTGTCTAGTCCAGTTCTAGATTTAGTCTGAATCCTGATTGTTTGTGCAAGTAATTTATTGAAAATGGTGAGAATAACAGCTGTGCAGATGTGTCTTTATTAAACACATGTTATTGCTTTGTTAGTGAGAGGAGGAGTGCATTTTGTGTCTAGTGTACTGTCTAGTCTGTAGTCTAGTATCAGACAGCTCTTGACCTTTGCCCCGAGTTTTCCCTGTTTTGTGGTTACCATGGAAACACAGTTGGATTGGCTGCGGGGTACGCGTTTCCCTTTACGCCCATTTTCTGCCTGGATTCGTGCCAAAATGGATATGACTAATAATGGAATAAAAAGTCAGTTTTTCAGAATATTTAATAATGGACAATAACAAGGGATCTTTTAGTTTGTGAGTAAATGCTCTATGGATTTAGGCAAAAATCTCAAACTGTTGAAAATATTTAGTTTTTGTGTTTTTAGATGTCTTTATTGTTCTAAAACATGCCAGACATAAAAAACTGTCAGCCAAAACCAGTGTCTGGCATCAAACATATTGACTAAAACTACTAGTACTAATTAACAGACCTAGCAGACCTCGTGTGGCAGGATTCAGTATCATTGGCTCATTTCACACAGAATCCTAAATTAGTCCTGGAACAAAATTTGGGTTCATTCCAACTGTGAGAAAAATTAATCAAGTTAAAAATCTCATTATTATATTTTAATCATTATCTTTCCTTTTCATTAATATATTTGATTATTGCCATAAAACCAGTGCCAAGTAAAAAAATAAAGAGACAAACATGCTTCTCAATTATTTGTGATCATAATTTGATAAATAAAAAAAAAAACTATTAAAATATTTTTAGTGGCTTTTATGTGTTTATTTGTTTTTCTCTGAAAAAGAAAACTAATAACCCTTATCTTGTTCCTTCATGGCGTTTGCTCTTAGCATAATTACAGTAGATTGTAAACAGTATACCTGCTTTTACTCACTTTCATCTTCCCCCGGGATATTCTTCCCTGTACTGCTTATGTCCATTGATGCAACTTGGCTTGTGACCAATTAAATACCAACAAGCAGTAAGTGTGTGCGTGTGTGTGTGCGTGTGTGTGTGTATTTGCTGTTGTATGTGTGTGTGTGTTTGTGTCTTTATACTTCGTCTTAAATGTAGAACAAATATGATGTCAAAGATTTTGATTAGGTTATGTTATGCTGTGAGTTCACATTATAAAACCACGAGGAGTCTAATTAGCTGAGGTAAATTAGCTGGGCTAAATCACATGACACAAAAACACAAAGTTCAGTGTCTTCTCTGTTAGTACAAACTAACTTTTAATTGAAATATTTTTATATATAGGTGTTTATTAAATTCTTTAATTAGAACTAACCTAACCCTTTGTCTTGTTACAGCTATGGCTGTCCTGGTTTGGAGAGGATTTGGGAGGCTGATCTTGAGGCGTGTCATCTGTTTTTACGTGGACTTCAGCTTCGAACCCCGAGCATCAGCGGATCTGACCCGTTGCCCTCTGACCTTTCAACCCCGACCCCGCCCAGCACCAAAGAAGATGAGGAAGAGGAGGAGGACTGCGCTATGCTCACTGCCTTAGGGGGGCGCTGGTGTCCCGAAGCCAACCTACAAAACTCAGAGTTCACCAAGGTAATATAACAGTGGTTCTCAAACTGTAATTCTAAACAAGAAATAATCCAAACAAGGACAAAGGTAGACAGAATTAGACAAACCCACAGACTGAAGAACTGTCAGGTGCCGCCTGAAGGAGCTCATGGTACACAGACCACAGTTTGAGAAACTGGTCTATAACATATTAGGTTGGAGCTACTGGCACAAAATATGAATTAGTAATATCTTAGTTTAATTTTACTTTAGTTCTGGTTTGGCTTTAGACTATTTAAGGTTCCTGTTATATGGAGCTTTTGAGGACATATTCACATTCAAGATATATAATATATAGTTTCAAATTGTGAATCTCTAAGGGAATGGTCTTAATCTTTCATCATTCTGAAACTCATGGTTGGATATACTAGTATTTTAGGGTGCATTCACACATATACACCACATCAAAATTGGGACAGAAAGGTATTCAACACAGAAAAAAACCTGGATTTCACTGGGACTCAAAGAGTCTGTACTTGACTTTTATTTCTTCTGTTCAGTTCTTAATCCTTATTGTAAAAAACAGTTTTTGTTGAAATCAATGAGACACACTGATATTTCCTATATATTGGAGATTTTTTGGAGAGATGTTGTAGGGTGTGAATCATCAGCCTGTGACTGTTTCAGTTTGTCTTGTTCGTGATTCAGCATCAGAGTGAGAGGCAGTGGGGCAGGCCTAACAGTTCATTCTGAAACATGTTCTTCACTCGTGGTTCAAAATTGAGTGCAGGCCCTTGAACCAGAAATAAAACAGGATCAAAGGAGGGCCAAGAACCAAGTTAGTACGCACCGATATACTTATTTATTTAGTTATATTTATAGAACTTGTTTAGACTGTTTAATATGGCTTTTGGACCCCAGTTCTAGTTCTAGTCTTGTTCTTGTGGAAACATGGTTTTATCCTGACTTAAGGATCCTGACTTAAGTTTAGACCTGGTTTAGTCCTGGTTTAGTCCCTGTTTAGGTCTTTTTGGTTTAAGCCTGATTTAATCAAGGTTTAAGATAAGTCTTGTTTTAGTCCTGGAGTCTAGAGTTCACCACAGTAATGTAGCAGCAGCATAAATGTATCACTAACAACAAACTATGCATTATTGATCTAACAATCTAACATGCCTCCACTTTGTATGGCTGCTTAATGTGTGTAGACCTACATCTAGAACAAGGAAAGATGCTCCGCTGAGGTTGCTCTGTGCTAAGCTGCTACATGGATGGAAGCTTGTTATGTTCACTCATGCATTTAAAAGGTCAAATGAGAACAAGCGTTTCTATCTGACCTCAAATCTACTCCACTTAATGTACTTCAAATAAGTTGTGTTTATAAGAGTAGACTGAAAGATGCGTATGTGATTGCTGTGGAGTAATCTTGTGTTCATATGCAAAGATGAGGAATGAAAGCATTGGCTATGTAAGTTTGTATTGGTTTTGTCGACATAATAGTTTAGCGCTTGAAGTCTGAAGTATTAGTAAGCAGAAAAAGTACTGAATTCATGACTCAGGAATAGATAAATTGCTTTTTTGCATCACATTTGGTAACCTATTTGAAGTTAAATCAGCTTTACCTTATTTTTTTCTGTTTTAAAAACATAAAAAACTAGGCCTGGGCACGTTAATGTGTTCATTTTGCGTTAACTAATGAATTCATTATCGCCGACAATTATTTTTCTCCCATTAACACAGTTTTTATTTTTATTTTATTTTTTTATTGTAAATGTCTGTTGCTCACTGGTTTTTATTTTGAAAAAGTCCATCGCAGTCTAGAAGTTGCTTACTGCTGCAGCCCTTACAGAAAACAGAGAGAAAGAAAGTGGGATAAACAAACATGGAGAAGGGTAAGGAACTTTTACATGACCATTTTCATTTTAAAGTTCTTCAGATGGTGCAGTCGACACAGGCAGAGTAATTTGTAACACTGCAACGCTGAATTGTCTTATCACCGAAGTTTCAAAAAAGCAAATCATTCAGTGAAACAAACATAGACTGTATGGAAACAAGTAGAGCGAAGCTTCGGTCGACCACGTGAGATGCAACGTGTATGAGCCATTGCTACACACATGCACATAACAGTGTGTACACCACCAAGTGCTTTTGGAGGCACCACTGCTCATTCGATCGCTCTTTGTCACAACCACACCCTCTACCCTCGGTCTCACTTTTCTTCCACGAGAAGCCAGTGCCAGCGATCACATTCTTAATAACAATAATAATAATATTCTTGCATGCCTTAGCAAGTTGCTTTGGAAGAAGTATTAACATGGACTTTAGAGACTAGTGCCCTGCTGCTGTATAAAGAAATGCTGTTTGCACAACAAATGTATGGCACTTTTGTTTACATTTCCAATAAAAGTGTGCTATATGCTACTTTTTAATTCATTAACTGGTTTTGTGTATAACATGCATGCATACATCACAGAAACTCATGTGATTAAAGGTTGTATAGAGGATTTTCCAAGGAACGAGAAATCCAGCGACTGTTTGTCCTTTTTCAAATGTTGCGCATGCGTGAAACCACCCCCCCTCCCCTACAGCTCCCTACGTAGAAACGCCTCCTCCCGCCTTCTCCTTACGCCAGAAACAGGTTTGTTTACAGCCGGTGAGCTGCACATGACTTGTAAACAACTAACTACAGTGTTGGTTAGGCAAGGCGGAGAAGTGAGGAGCGGGGGGAGGGGGGGGGCGCGGACATTTCGTGCGCGGACAAGAAGTGAGGAGCAGGGAGAAGAGCGGAGCAGGGAGAGAGGAGAGGAGAGAGGAGGGGAGCGGTGCGCGGAGATTCCGTGCCCGGAGAAGTGAGGAGCAGCGGGAAGAGCGGAACGGGCAGCGGGGACAGGAGCAGGAAAGGGGTGCAGAGAAGGTTGCGCGGAGATTCAGTGCGAATGAACTAGCTACAACACGCAGCAGCAAGCGGACTCTTTCTTTGCCTTGAAAATTACGTTTTCAGACATAGGATATCGCTTTCGTGTCCTGAAAAACATTTGTCTAGCTCTTGGAAATAAAGTACGTTTTCATAATAAGCAGAAGTGACCTGTCCAGGAGTAATTTGGCGACCAATGCGTCAGTCTTTAGACCCTGCGTCTGCTTCAGTCACGCCATCGCTGGAATGAATCTACAAGAATCACCTTAGTTTGGCTTCGCTGCTTTTCCCCTTGTCTTATTCTTTCAACAATCTCAAAAACTGACTTTCTTTTGCGGCTAACTGCTCCTGGATTCTTCTCTGCCATTGCAACAAACTTTGTGCGAACTGCGAGGAAGATATAGGTCAAAAAAAGCCGCTAAGAACTGTTGCGTTGGTGGAGTAAACAGCGTCTGTGCATCTTGCGTCTGTGGACTGCGTGACAGGCGTACGTAAACCACGTAACGGCAGCACGCAGGCAAGTCAGTTACGCTAGAAACGTAGGGAGTTTGATTGACAGCCTGTCAGCTAACAGATAACGAGGCAGTGTCGTTATCTATTGGCAAATGTTTAGCCCCACCACGTCCAGAGTTGATGAATTTTTATTCTCTTTTTTTTTGGTCATCATAATTACAAGGCTACTGCACCTTTATAATGCTATCATTGACAATTTTAAACAAAAAAATCCTCCATACAACCTTTAATGCTATTAAGATTTTTTCATTTTTGCCCAGCCCTATAAAAAACAGACGTTGCTACCATTTTAAAATTCTCTTAAAGGTGCTCGTTTGTTGTTATTGATGGTATGTTTTTACTATTAAACTTTATTTATTGCGATATCGTAACAGAATAATGTGATAATGGTCTCTTCCAGTCACAAATCTTTACAATCCCAAATAACCTACATTTTGGGCCATTCATTGATAAAGGGGTGGCTTATGGGTGGGCATCTGGCGCAAAACGTATGCCAAATCATTGCTATTAATAAACATACGCTATAGGAGGTAGATGTTTTTCCATAGCGACCCCAGAAGAGAAAATCTGTGGAAAAAAATAAAAATAGCAAGATTAATTAATGGTATGCGCTCACCAGATGGTAATTTGCCATAGCAATCTGATTTACATACTGGGGTCTAAGGAAAAAGTGGCCTACATGCAGTTTAATTATGATTAACACCTATGAAATGGGTTTAGATGAATGTTTTTTTGAGTCAACAATGTTTACTCTTAGATTTATATTTTGCATAGTTCACCCGATGTTGCACAGTTCATATTTATCCAGTTACATTCTAGGGTCAAATGGAATCAGTGTTCTTTGCTATCTGACCTCAAATGAAGCTTGTATCTTTCTCGATTCGACTGAAAAACACATTATCTGCTAAAACACTTGGCTAGGGTCAGAATACACAAGTCTACAACTATAGCAGAAGACTATCGATGCATTTGCTTCGAGGTATTTCTAAATGAGGAGAAAAATGTGGGTGTCAGGGAGGGGTGCAGCGGCTTGGAAAACTCTGCTGGCATCTTTGTTTCATTGTACACAGTTAAATGTGTGCAGTGAGAATGTGTTTGTGTGTGTTGTGTGCACTGGATTATACAGTCTACCCCACAGTGAGAGGTAGCTCAGTGCCTAGGGTTAATAGATTAGAATAGAAACAATTTCACTCTTTGTTCATAGTATTTTGTCTGCAGTCACCCGTCAAAACTGGGACTAAACCTGGTATTATACCTGGTACTAAATCTGGATAAGACCAAGTTTAAACCAGAACTAGAATAGGGCCAAATGAAATACAGCAGGATTAAACTAAAAGCAAAAAAAGACCGAAAAGGACAGTAGTAGAGGTGTAACGATATCCAAGTCTCACAATACGATATCATCACGGTATGAACCTCACTGTACGATATTTATTGTGATATCTTTGGAAAGCTCATGTAACAATATCTAAATCTCTTGGTACGATATTTTCACGATATACATCTCACAGTACGATATTTATTGCGATATTTCGTGGAGGCTAACAAAACTGTTAATATTTTCTTCTTGACAAGACTTAATCCAAAGAACTAAGACTTAAAAGTGCTTAGAACTGTTATT